ATTCAATCCTTTTTCTAATAAAAGTACCACACCATCCTCCAGAGATAAATTGATTACCTTATCCTTTCCCACTTTGCTGCAACCAAGGTTAGTACGACTTACCTTAGGAGCAAAGTTTCTTGACCTAATTCTAATTCCTAAATTCCGGAGCTTGTTATCATGTCAATCGCCTCTCCTAACCCATCAGCCATCTGTTGTAACTTAATGAAATCTACAGCCCTCAATATTTCAGAAATGGATTGCGTGAACCTAGTTTAGATTCTAATTAGTTCGTGTAGTCTGTTAATGCTTTCCTTGAGCCTAGTTTTAACCAAACCACACGATACCTGATTAAGTTCCCTATTAGTGGACGTCGATAGAATAAAACGTGTACCGAGTAAGCGACAAATAAGGACAGCATTATGAGAAATTTACATTTGAAAGATATAATTATATTAACTTGCCGGGTTATAGTTTTCTGGGTTATAGTGTAGCGACAAGACAAAACATAACAAGTCAAGCGGTACGTACATTGTAGATACGAAGAGAAACGAGGTTTCGATGAATGTCTTGTGATAACATTGTTGGTTAGAAACATGGATGACTATTTTGTCATCTGACCTCATGGTAAGAAAAGTTTAGATAGTTTTATACTTTCATTCAACCAGAGAAGAAGTTTTTATTCGTAAATGAGTAGGGTTTCGAGACTACCAGTTTTTACCCTTTCTGGATGTTCTCATCATTAGCGAAGAGGGTAAGTTAGGAAGAGATGTTTAAGGAAGCCAACATAGGTTGGCTCTGCTTACTTTTAATTACAACCATAGTTACAAGACTAAGGTTGAAATTTTGAAGTCAATAATTATTAGAAGTGTGAGGCTAGCAGATTACAAATATTTGACTAAAGAGCTGCAACGGCTGACAAATACATTCCTGGGACTTATTGAAAATAATATCTCGCTACTGAGGAATAAATTTTCAAACGAAGACTATTTAATCAAAGAGAGACAGACTGAGACCTTTTCCCATGTCCTAATAATACCGTCATGCCTTCTGTCATAAAAAGATAGACGAATTAGTAAGGAAGAAGGGATAAAAACAGTGTTCAAAGAAACCCTCACACTTTCTTCTGTTATACCATCTTTTAGAGAGAAATATCACCCATTATCGAGAGCCGGCTGCTACAAGCTTGTTTGTTCACGCGGTCGATGTTATGTTTGTGATACATGCCGACCTATTCGACAAACATTGGTAGAACACAAAAATGCTTGCAAAGTTATTTGGATCCAATGGTTAGAATTGGCCGAACACATGGTAGATACTGGACATGAAATAGAATGATCTCAAACTAGTAGATTTGCTGATTACGTTACGTCTGTATTTATAAGAAAGATAAGAGAGGCTATTGAAATTAATAGCTTAGGAAAAACATTAAATGTGAGGAACGTGAGTAGGAATTACTTATGCTTGATTGATAGATTGAAAGAGAGAGAAAGTGTTGAGCCACCTTCAAGAGGTAGTCGACTCAATTTATCTGCTCAGTGATGGTTTAAATTTCACTCAAATTCGCCCAAAATGTAAGAGTAAGCTCATCAACCAAACCAGACATGTCAGATTACGCAACCCCAGTCTTGCCATTCCTTGGAGGGTTAAATGTTAATGGCCCTTGACAGAATGGTTATGACAAGTGGTTTCGTAACTTGATTATCATGCCGTCTGTTATGCCATCTTTTAGAGAAAAATATGACAACATTATCGAGATCCGGCTGCTACAAGATTGCTTGTTCATGTGGTCGATGTTGTGTTGGTGAGACAAGCCGACCTATTCGACAAAGATTGGTAGAACACAAAATGCTTGCAAAGGTAGCTGGATCCAACGGTCAGAAGTGGCCGAACATTTGGTAGAAACTGGACATTAAATAAAATGGTCTCAAACTAGTAGGTTTGCTGATTATGGAATGTCTGTGGTTGAAGGAAAGATAAAAGAATAACTCAGCAATTGAATATATGAAGACCAAAATGTTGTGGCCTCTGGTATGTTCGCAGTCCCCTTTCCATTTATAGAAATGGGTTGACCTCGTTGTCGCAACTTGGTCTTGTTGTCAGGGCGACTATGTCGAACGCACCTAGTCGGAAGTCGTCTGCCATAGTATTTGTCATGGCTCCCAGCATCAGACAGTGGACTTGGTACATTCTCAAACGTTTCGCCGGCATTATCAGTCAGTTTTGCTATTCTCCGCACCAAGCTATGAAATCATCATCCCTCGATAAACGTTCTTCCGAAAATGATTACACTATTACTCCTCTTTCTGTCTTGGCCCATCTATCTACTCTTTACCCTCTTCTCCCACTCCGCTACATCACAACTTCCCATTCGTCAAATTGTGTGCCCTTTTGTGGCAAATCTAGTCTAACCTGCTATTTACCCCGACCCCTCTCTGTCGATCGACTGATCCGACTCGGGCCCCCAATCCCGATGCCCTCATTGTCTCGTAGATCAGTTCCTTATCTTTCTGGTTGACCGATTTCACTCGGTACCAATCTTAGTGTGCATTTTACTCCAGACGCTATTTCTCAAGGCCCTAGAAGCACGTACACTACCACTTCACGGATCAGAGCGCTAAGCTCTGATTGCCATGCTTGCAGATATCACACCTTCCCTTCACGGGTCCTCTCCTTCATTAAACCCATGTTATCTGAGCAAACTGTGGATGCCTATCTCTGCTCGAATGCGGCATCTCAAGTGGATTTCTGATACATTTTGGCCATAACGTCGAATTTCCGTGACGGTTTGCTTATTCGTCTGCCCAGCCCCCTGACTGTCAGGCCCCCAAAGTTGTACTGGTCTATTCGAAACAGACATCACGCACTGACAACGTCTTCGCTTTATTGCTGAAAACCACTCCCCCGCCCCAATTTCCTCATCGCGATCCCTTTCCCTCTGATTAACGGCAGATCCTTGATCCAATCGTATCCTTTTTGCTGGTCTTGCTTTATTCTTGTTTTCCCTGAGTTTGCTTAGGCAGTAGACAAAGTTATCGCTAACTCTACTTTCCTATAATCTCCTTTTTATTTCATTTCTCTCTCCCAACAATATCAATGGCTTCCATAATCTTCCGCTTCCTTTTGTTGTCACCGTATGGTACTCTTCTTTCTGTTACCTTCCAATTGATCTCGTGTCCAGTCCGTGCGATGTGTTCTGCTAGTTCTCATCTTTCGGTATCCAATTTCCTGCAGAGCCTCTGATGTTCCTTGATTCGTGTGCTAATTTTTCTCCCTGTTTCGCCAATTTATTTCTGTTCGCAGGCACCGCGTGCTATGCAGTAAACTCCTCAACAATCCAATTTGTCTACCCTTTCATGTTGCGTCGGTAGACTTGTGTAAAGTGTTGATAGCGAAAGATCTGAACTGGCAGAACACATCGCACGGACTGGACACGAGATCAACTGGAAGGCAACAGAAAGAAGAGCCCCATACCTTGACGACACAAAGAGGAGGAAGATTCGGGAGGCCATTGACATGTTTGGAGGGACAAATTTAATGAAGAGTTAGCGATAACTTTGCCTACTGCAAACTCGCATTGCGTATAGACGCTAACACACGGACACACTTGAGCAAACGTAGCAGGACCAGTATGAAAGATAATTAGCCAAACCACTCTATGCCTATCTATCTATCTTTCTTTATTTCTTTCTAGGTTTTTAATTTGCTTTTGCTTACTTGAGTCTATATAAGAGGTAAGATAAGGCCGGATAGTCTTCTTGACTTGGCGTATGTTAACGTGAGACTTTTTCAGGAATGAG